TGAGCAGCTGGTAGTTTCGAACTGCCAACCTTGAGGTTAGTAGCCTGATTCGTAACCACTACACTACCAGAGCCGTACAGTATTTTTTATCTACCTGAAAAATAGTCATTCACCTCCTCAACAAACCTGATTAAAAATTTCTGCAAAAAGAAAAAGCCAGTGTTGGACAAAGATCTGACCTTGACGATATCAACTAAGACTTTGGATCCAGTCGTTCCTGAAGGAGATGCTATCTTACCTAGGTCTATTCAGCTGCATGAACTATTAAGTTCTGTTTTGGGATTGAATTGGTATGACTTGGTTTTTTCATCCCCTGTAAAAGAATGTGTCCTAGTGAATTTGTATCTATACATACACACACACATACACACATATGTATCCTTATGTTTCTGTCGGGGTTTCTAATGTGATCATGAAATTTTTAATGATTAGAAATAAATAACCAATTTTCAAAAGGCAAAAAAATAAAATAAAAATACCATGGCTCTGGTCAGGCATACTTTAGTTCTCAAACTGACGTCTTTGCTCTTAAAACACTTTCAAGAGGTCTTGTGCAGCAGATTTGGCTAATGTAGTACATTATTTAATTTCTTGACTGCTGCTTCTGTGACTATTGAGTGTTCCAAGCAAGATGAAATCTTTGAAAACTTCAATCTTGTCTCCATGATATGATTTATTAGTCCAGTGGTAGGGACTTTTTTTTTCCTTTACAGTGATGTGCAACCTGTACTGAAGGCTGTACACTTTGATCTTCATCAGTAAGTATTTTAAGTCCTCTTTCCTTTCAGCAAGCAAGGTTGCATCATCTGCATATCACAGGTTGTTATTGAATCTTCCTCCAATCCTGATGCCACATTTTTCTTCAAATAAGATTGTATCATCTACATATGGAAGGTTGTTAATGAGTCTTTCTCCAATCCTGATACCACATTCTTCTTCATGAAAACCAGTTTCTCAGATTATTTGCTCATCATACAGACTGAATAAGTGTGGTGAAAGAATACAACCTCGACACACCTTTCCTGATTTTAAACCCTACAGTGTCCCCTTGTTGTATTTGAATGACCGCTTCTTGGTGTAAGCACAAGTTCTTCATAAGAACAATTAAGTTATCAATCAGTAAATGCTTCAAATCCTCTTGGCCATTTTTTTTTTTAGAATTAGATGGCTAGGTCTTTCCTAGTCTGTCAGTCTGTAATCTTTGCTGAAACTGGTCCACAATGAGTGAACCTGCTGGTATTTGAACTTCTCATACCATAGTGTCCAGCATCACAGCCACATGTTACCAAAGTACCACAAACTGACAGACAAGTGGTGAATTCCATAGTATATATAGTGTATTCAACCATTCCCTGGACAGACAGGTATTAAGATTGCTTTTATTTATTTTTTAATCCCTATAAACAAGGCTGCTTAAATATTGTGTCCATTTCAAATACAGTGTACATTTTAAAATGTACACCAGGTTCTGCAAAGAGTATGTGCATTTGAAGTTCTGACAGGTCTGCCCGTTGGTTTTATTATCATTTGTAATGCATTCAAGTGTTGTTTTCTTTGCATCCTTGCCAGTACTGGAGGTAATTTTTTCCATTTTCTGTGAATCTGACTGACAAAACAATAATCTTTCATTGTTTGCTGTAATGCTTGGAAACTAGCAATGAATTGGAATGTAGAGCTCTCTTGCTGAAACAGTCCAAACTAATGTCTGTGCGACCAACGTCTGTGCCCCTCACATAACCGACTTAATGAAAAATGACATCTTTATACTTCCTGTATCTTCTTCATTTTCCTCTCACTTCAAGCTGAGACAATTGAAATGTAACTTACAAAATCATTATGTAGACACTAGGGGGCACCCAAACTCCACTTAACAGAAGTGGTGGTACTCTTCCATTCCAAGTAATCATGCAGGGAATTCAAAGTGCATGGATATGGTTAGCTGGAAAATTGGGTTCTGGTGCCTGTCCTGCCTCGTACTCTAAAATAGTAGGTAGTTCTCAGCTAGGGGCCTGTTGTTAAGTGCCGGAAAGTGGATTATACTCAACCAGTCTGTATAGGGTTGTAGAGTCATTTTCTTCTGCTGAACGACTAGTAGGCTAGCACTATCCACACTGTGGTTCGCAGCCCAGTGCTTATCATACAGCGCCACGCCAGCACCCCTTCATGGTCCTTGTTGCTGAGTGCCATTAATGGGTTCTAACTCATTGTTGTTGTTGTTGCTGTCGGGTGCCATCGAGTCGGAACCAACTCATAGTGACCCCATGCACAGCAGAACGAAACAATGTCCGATCCTGGGCCAACCTTCCCCTTTAAGGCTGACTTTCCCGGGAGCCGAGTGACCCCGAGCGCTGCAGCCTCAGCATTCAATGTTGTTGTTGTTGTTATGTGCCGTGGAATCGGTCCGGACTCATAGTGACCATGCATACGGTTTCCGAGGCTGTAAATCTTTACGGGAGCAAAAAGCCTTATCTTTCTGCCGCGGAACAGCTGGTAGTTTCGAACTGATGAACGTGAGATTAGCAGTCCGATTCGTAACCACTACGCTACCAGAGCTCCTTCAGCATTCAATACACCTGGCTCAATTAAAAGTTCGGACTTTTCACAAAGGATTTTAACAAGTTAAAGCTAGGATAGAAAACAGAGGCTGCAGTAGTAACCCTGGCAAACCGCCTGAAGGGGGCGGTGTTGAAGAGGACCGGAAGGGGCGGACAGGAGCGCATTCGGTGTTCCGCCCTTTGAGTCGATTTAGTGGCGGGAAAGGCAAGTGGTTCAGAGGCGTTGTCCGCTTGGCGGTTCAACCTCAGGGTCCCCTGGAACGTCCTGTGTGGCAGCTTTCGCACCAGCCAGCAATGGAGAAGCAGCAGGAGGAGGAAGCCGCCGCCGAGCTAGCAGAACCGGGAGGAGAAGGCGGGCAGCCTGAGGCCGCCGGCGCCCAGGAGGCGAGCCCCAAGGACCGCTTGTCCCTGCTGCTCAGGTTTTGCCCTCTTGACCGCTGACTGAGAGCCAAATGGGCGTCTTGGCCAAGAGCTCTGCCCTGTGGTCAAAATGTCCAGGATTCAAATTCAAACCCTCTAAACCTGTTCATCAGAGAATTGGAAAACGGAAAATATTACTCCGTGTAGAGTTTCTATGGAGACTTAAATGCTTTACTTTTGAGGAAAGAGGGTTTAGCACGTTCCTTGGGGCGATTAGGAAGACATCCTGAGCCTTCATTCGCCCCCTTTCTTTGTCCTCATCTTGTGGGACCCCCATTTTCAGGCCACAAGTTGTGCGGGGCATCCAAGCCCTGATCAGATGGAGGCAGGATGCCGCGCCTCTATCTCACAATCATGACCTCTTTTGAACAAAAAGCCTGCTTAATATTCTTTTCTTTTTGTTAACTTTTTATTATGAATTGAATGAAGGTTTACAGAGCAGATCATCAGTTTTACATTCAGCAAATGCTTCATTCAATGATTGCTTTTTCAAATATTTTATTGTGCTTTCATTGCAAGTTTACACAGCAAGATTCCATTTCAACAGTTTCTTGCAGATTATTTACTGACATTGGCTACATTCTTCACAGTGTATGTCAGCACTCTCATTATTTCCCTTTTGGGTGTTCTGTTATCACTAGTCTAGTTTCCCTGTCCAGTTACTATGTATTCATCTTTGCTTAAAGTAATTGTTGGCCGTTTAGTCTCATAGACATTTTAAGAAAGAAGTACAGTATTCATAGATGATATTCTTTCTTTTCTGAGTTAATCTGTTTTAACTAAAAGGTGACCTCATGATACTTTCAGTTGAAATTTTGAAGAGTATCTCAGGACAGTAATCTCGGGGAATCACTTAGTCTCACCTGGTTCAGTGGGTCTGAACTTTTGAAGCATTTGATTTCTGTTCCATATTTTCCGCTTGTGCTATCAGATTGCTCAGTAGTATAGTACGGCATCGTCTAATTCTTCTGGTCTCCGAGTAGATGAGACCATGGTTTGTGTAGATCTTGGTACTTAAATATGTTTCTTAACTACTTAAATAAATGCTAATATCACAAGGCAGATAATTTATGATTTATGACACTACTATGAAAATGTGAAACACTAATACAAGCAAGGGGACTTCAAAAAGTCCGTGGAAAATGGAGTTAAAAGATAAGGTAATTTTTACACAAACGTTTTGGAACCCCTCATACAATGAAATAACTAATTATTATTTTGTTGTTGTTAAATACCATTGAGTCAGTTCTGACTCATAGTGACTTTGTGTAGTTTCTAAGGAGTGGCTGGTAGTTTTGAACTGCCAACTTTTCACTAAGCAGTTCAGTGCTTATCCTACAGTGCCACACCAGGACTATTTATCAATTTACTATTTTTAAGTAGAATTATAGAATAGCTAAGAAACTATATGAATTATCTAAGAATTAGCATCCTGGATAAAATTACCAGTTCCTCATTACAGTGTTTGCTGGTTTCACTATTTTTGTCTTTCTTTGTTCTCAGTTCTAATTAAGTCCTTTTTAATCTGGCCTACTAGTCCTGGTGTGGTGCTGCAGGATAATGCATTGGACCGCAAAGTCAGTTTGAGCCACAAGGTCAGCAGTTCAAACCCATCAGCCACTCGGAAACCCTATACAGGGTCACTATGTGTCAGAACTGACTCGATAGCACTTAACAACAACAACTAATGATAAATTTTTAAAATCAACTTTCTGATTTCTTCATTGATGTTCTCCCACTGTTTTTTGTTTTGTGTCTTGTTTTGAGGCCTTAGATTTCTTTAAGATTGTTTTAGGTAAAATGAGGCCATACTGGGAGCATATACTGAGACTTTAATGCTGACACATTTTGTTATTCTTAAAAAGATGACTTGGTCCACATGTAGTACCAGTACCAGTTATTGTCAAATTGATTCTGTTTCATGGTGTGTCAGTAGAACTGTGCTCAAAAGGATTTTTAATGGCTGAGTTTTCAGAACTGCATTTTCTTCTGAGGTTCCTCTGAAGTCTGGGAAGATTCCATCTGAGTTTTGAGTCATTAGCACCATTAAGAGCCTCTAATTTAATGATAATGAGTATAATGTACTATGCTTTGTTTTTTTTCAGGCTGAGAGCACAGACAAAACAACAGCTCTTGGAATATAAATCAACGATTGATGCAAGTAAATATTTTCATTTTAAATATTTTTAAATTAGGTTTTTATAGTTTGATAATGAATAGTGTTGTTGTTGTTAAGTACTGTGAAGTCGGTTCTGACTCAGAGTGACCCTGCACAGGGTTTCAGAGGCTGTAAATCTTTACGGGAGAAAAAAGCCTCACCTTTCTCCAGTAGAATGGCTGGTAGTTTCAAACTGCCGACCTTGAGGTTGGCAACCCAAATTCATAACCACTACACTACCAGAACTCCTTGTTAATGAGTAGTACTCTAAGGAGAATAAAATAAATTTTATAGGTAATTGAGGAGTGCAACAGAATGTAGTACTATGCTGGGTAAGAGTGCATAAAACAATATGAGGAGCCTTCAGAGAGTTTGTGGAAAAA